CCTGAGCTCTTCTTGCACCTTCTGCCCTGAGGACCTCCTCTAGCAATGTGTAGGTCTTATCAGCCTCAGCTCTTGCTGCCCAAGCAAATCTGAGCGAGTCCCATTCTTTGGGCAGTGACGCAAGAAGTCTCGCACACTTGATATCATTTGCAATGATAAAACCAGTCTCAGTGAGGTTGTTTTGAAGGTTTTTAAACATGGTGAGATTGTCTTCCATCGATTTGTTTTCAAGAAACTTGAAAGACATGAATCTCGAAATAGCTGTATCTTTGACAATGCCAGTTTGGTTTGCGAATCTTCTCTTGATCTTTTCATAGATTTCGCTGGCAGTGAAAATTTCGGTTTCACCATAGAAAAGAGTTACGACAAGATTTGGGTGAATCGAGGAATAGAGAATTTGTTTTCCAAGTAGATTTGCTGCCTTAAATTTTCTAACTTGATCCTTTTGAATAGTTGTCCATTCGTTCTTTTGTTCCGTTCCTTTTTCTGGCATTACCAAGATCCCAGCAATAAGATCTGCGACATCTTGATTTTGAGATAAGTAGATAGGGATGAGGGATTTCCAGGCTACGTAGTTCTGTCCATGCTCTTTCAGCGTGACTGGGCATTGTGTCAAGTTCTTTTTATATTCTGGCTCTGGGCATGACATGTCCGGAGTGGACATGTTTGATCCTGGTCTTAGAAAGTAAATGGTTGCTTACTTTGTGGATCGTTGAAGAGCTAACTCGTGCTTGATAACGTATTCGATATTCACTGGACACTTAAGCAGAGCTCAGTATAATAGAACAGACAGTTGGTGTTACCCAGTATTTATTCCAATTGTTGCAGTGCTTCTATAGGTCCAGAAGAAGTGGAAAGTGGTAAAGAGAAAGAACACTGTCTCCCTCAGTGTATCAGACGGTTACAGGGAACATAGATTCTGAACAGAGAGCTCAGTGCTTCGTCGGAGCAATCTCAGAACGAACTTCGAGAGAGACAATCGGATTGAAACCGTTGTCGTCCTGGCCGAAGGCAGTACGCATTGTAGCATATATGCTGAGGTGGAGACATCGAAACAGCGAGAGCACTCCGAGAAATGGTTTGGTGATAGGTGCGGATGAATTCCAAAGAGCAGAACGATCGATCATTAAGAATATTCAGGCATGCCATTTCGCAATGGAATTGGATTCAGGCATGAAGGGTCTCTCAAAAAATAGCCAGCTCTATCAATATAAGCCTTTCTTGGACGATGATGGAATCATTAGGTGCAAATCCAGGCTGTCAGAATCTTGCGAGATATCATACGAGACAGCAACCCCAATCATATTGCCGGAAGAGGACGAAATGGTCGATTTGTACATTCGATGGATTCATGGGAACTTATGCTGTTACGCAGGAAGCATTCCAGGCATATTGCAGAGGTGTAGGCAAAGATTTTTCATCATCCGAGCGCGTAGAGCAGCCAGAAAAGCAATAACAAGTTGCAAAGTATGCGTGAAATACAGGGCTCAACCGGCGGTGGAATGCGTTCCACCATTACCTGAATTTCGGATCGAAACCGCGCCTGCTTTCACAGTAGCTGCGGTTGATGCAGCGGGACCGTTCCCAGTCAAATCGAAAGAGGGAATATTCCCAGCGCACATAATGCTCTTTTGCGACCCAATCTCTCGGGCAGTCAGGCTAGAATTGGTGCAGAATCTATCGACCTCCTTGCGATGAGAAGATTTTACAACAGAAATCCAACGGTCATGAGATTCTTTTCCGACAACGCGGCGTCATTCCGAAGAGCGGCAAAAGAAATCAAGTGGCTATTCGATCTTGCGAGATCAGAGGAAACTCGAGAATTTCTGTCGAAGAGCAGAATAACGTGGGAATTTAACACCGAGAGAGCGCCGTGGCGTGGAGGCTTCTACGAAAGGCTTTTCCGAATGATCAAACAACCGCTGAGGAAAATTTCGGGGAGAAATTTACCATCATTCAGAGAACTAGAAACAGTCCTCACGGACATAGAGAAAATGGTAAACGATAGACCACTGACTCATATAGGCAACGATCCGAATGAGGTGCTGCCCCTCAGACCATCGGATCTGCTATATGGAGTCCAGGCGAGACGAGCGTTACCAGAGACGATGGAAATCATCAATAGCGCGGAGCATGCTACGGCAGAAGCATTGACGACCAGATGGAAACATCAGCAAAATATTATGAATGATTCCTGGAAACGATTCCGAAAGGAATACATTCAGCATTTGCGAACAGCGCACATGAGCAAACCGGTCAGGGTACGTCCCATTAAAATCGGAGACGTAGTCCTCTTAGATGATCCGGCAGCTTCGCGAAGCTATTGGCCAATGGGGAGAGTAACGGAGTTTTCTGGCCGGGAGGGGCCGGATGGAAAGCGAAGGACCTGCATGGTCAGGTTACCATCCGGAAAGTCTCTGCGGAGGCCCATCCAACTATTATACCCACTCGATATAGCCCTGTGGCGGGCGCCGCACATTTCCATATTATTACGCGAAGACGACGAAGCAATAAATTCATTCAGTCCGTAGCCGCTCAAACTACGACTCGTGTTCTCGATCACTTGGTGGTTCTACACGCCAAATTGGTGACCCGGACGTCGAATCATGACAGATTCCGACCAGTTTGAAGACTCGAGGGAGAGCCTCCAGCTGGGAGCCAATGCCGCCCCAGTACAAATCTCAGCCGTCAGCTTGAAGCTACCGCCGTTCTGGCAGAAGCAGCCCAGCATCTGGTTCACGACTATCGAGGCCCAGTTCAGCCTGCGCAAGATTACCGACGACCAGACGAAATTTGAGTATGCCCTTACTGCTCTACGACCAGGACGCACAGGAACGAGTCGCGGATTTCTTCGACGCCCTTCCCTCCGCGGGGTCGAGATACGCGAACTTCAAAGCAAGGCTTCTCGATTCTTTCAAAGTCAATCAACACCAGCGGCTGGCTGCGCTAATATCTCTGACCATGGGTGATGATACGCCGTCCAGACTCCTGGACAGGATGCTAGGTCTGTACCGGCCAGACGCGGGCGCTGAGACGAACCCCCTATTCCGATTCCATTTCATCCAGAAGCTTCCGGCCTCTGTCCGAGAGCAAGCCGCCGCGCTTGACGATCTCAAACTCCGGGAGCTGGCGAAGTTCTGCGACAAGGTGTTCGCTCAGCGGCAGACGACGACCGCTTACAATGTACAAGACGGAGAATCCACCGAAGTTGAAGCGGTTCAGCGGCTCGTGCGGGGTACCAAAAAGCAAGGACCTACACAAACAGAAAAAACGACAAGAGTATGTAGATTTCATACCAGGTACGGTGAACTTTCGAGGAACTGCCTCATGCCTTGCTCGTGGAATGGAAAAGTCGCTTCGACGCAGGGAAATGCCCTCGCCGGCCGTCAGTAATCGCTTGTACGGCCGGCGCGCAGCAGAAAGGCGATCTCTTCTTCGTGTTCTGTGCCGAGTCAAGGCGAAATTCCTAGTAGATTCAGGGACACAAGTCAGTATCGTTCCGCCGGCGCCGGGTGATCGCTTGGTTCCTAGTTCGCACAGCCTCCTAGCCGCAAATCATACTCCAATCACTTCGTACGGGAAGAAAGATCTCAAGCTGAACCTCGCAAACCGATTCACATTCACATGGACCTTCATCGTGGCTGACGTCAAACACGCCATTTTAGGATCCGATTTCCTTCGAAACGCTGGACTCTTGATTGATCTTCCCGGAAGGAGACTCATAGACACCGTATCGCTAGCGGTCATTCCTCTCCACACACCACGGTCTCGGAGCATAGTCAGCATACTGACGAAGGCTAGCAATGACTTCGAGGCGCTTCTCCTACGTTTCCCCGCCGTTCTCACACCGCGTTTCAACGCCGCAGTCAAGCACAAAGTCCAACATCATGTTGTGACTAAAGGTCCTCCTCGTCACGCCAGAGCACGGCGTTTGGCCCCCGACGTACTACGGGAAGTCAAGAAGGAGTTCCAATCTTTGGAAAAACTCGGTATCATCAGGAAATCGTGTAGCCCTTGGTCGAGCCCACTCCATGTTGTGCCGAAGGCAGATGGCACCAAGCGACCCTGTGGCGATTTCCGTCAGGTTAATGACATCACTGAGCCTGACCGCTATCCACTACCTCACATACACGATTTCGCGTCTAACTTGCACGGCTGCAAGATCTTCTCCAAAATTGACCTAGTGAAAGGTTACCACCAGATACCCATGGCCCCGGAAGACATTCCGAAGACAGCAATCATTACCCCTTTCGGTCTGTGGGAATATACAAGGATGCCCTTCGGTTTGAGAATAGCGCTCAAACTTTCCAACGGCTTATGAACTCAGTACTAGGAGATCTTCCATTCCTATTCGTGTACCTGGACGATGTTCTTGTTGCATCCGCCAACAAGAGACAACATCTGCAGCACCTCGAAATTCTTCTCGAACGCCTCAAAGATCATGGACTCGTAGTCAACGCCGAGAAATGCAGGTTCGGCCTCCCATCGGTGGATTTCCTTGGGCACAGAGTTTCCAGCGAGGGCATCTCTCCGCTGCCGGACAAGGTAGAGAACATTCGCGCATTCCCGCGGCCAAAGAAAATGATAGAGTTACAACGCTTCATCGGGATGGTGAACTACTAACATCGTTTCCTCCCGCATGCAGCCGGAATCATGGCACCGCTCATCAAAGTTCTCAACGTAGAGCCAAAGGCCAAGAACAACGTCATTCCTTGGGATGAGAGATCCGTTGCGGCCTT